CCTTCCTGCAAACATGCTTGAACGAATTCTTCCTGATCTGAGAATAATTTTGTGAGTGCACTGGGAGCAGCGCCATCCGCTATTTCGTCACAAGGCAAGCCGAGTGACTCCCTCCACCACGCGGTTAGTGGAAACCCTACCGCCTGCCCAGTGGGCCCGTGTTAAGACAGGGTACTGGGTCCAGGAATTGGGACCTGGCGGCTCAGACGCAAACTGTCGGCACATGGCACATGGCTCAGCGTGAGGAACCAACCCTTAGTCGTTCAGAGAGGGGCCCGTTTGAGACCTCTAGCAACGCAAGGTTGGAATCCAGAGCCTGTTCGAAAGCCAGCGCGAAACTTCCAAAACGTCTGAGCCGTGGCGGCTACCACTACTGCCACTACTACCACTACTACCACTACTACCACTGCTACCACTACTACCACTACTACCACTACTACCACTACTACCACTACTACCACGACTACCACGACTACCACTACTACCACTACTACCACTACTACCACGACTACCACGACTACCACGACTACCACGACTACGACTAACTACTACCACGACTACCACTACTACCACTACTACCACTACTACCACTACTACCACTACTACCACTACTACCACTACTACCACTACTACCACTACTACCACTACTACCACTACTACCACTACTACCACTGCTACCACTACTACCACGACTACCACGACTACCACGACTACCACGACTACCACGACTACCACGACTACCACGACTACCACTGCCACTGCCCCTGCCCCTACCACTTCTGCTACCGCTACCGCCACTGCTACCACTCCCACTCCTCTTACTGCCACTGCTGAAACGGCGGAAGGCCGCGCCTGGCGGTGCCTGGCCCTGGGCAGCACCGGCCTGGAGCCGAGTGGTTACTGGAGTTTCAGGGCCGGGCGCATCTCCCGGGCGCATGGCGGGCTCCCAGGTGTTTTCAAGAGGTGCAGGGTTTTGGGGTGCTCGGATTCATGTCGCAGCCTGCGCTTCATGTCAGCTCCGATCGTTTCGCGATGTCCCTGCGGCTCGCTTGCTTCAGGGAGCAGGTTTGCCCAGATCCGCCTGAACCCCCGAAGGCCGAAGCCCGTGCCTGCAGTCCTTTGAGCGAAAGTCCGAGTGGGTGTTGACATGTGGTTGCAGTCTGAGGTGCAAGGATATGCTCCCTACATGTCGCTTGGCGGCATCGGGAAGGGAGAAACCAAGTAGGAAAGGCACAGTCTCTGTGCAGCTGGCTTCTGCCGAATGCCGGCTTCTTCTCGGGTATAAATGATTCAACTTGCAACTCCCGGCAGATAGCCGATACGCTCGGCATGCGATAGGATGTCAATCCACCTCGGCACTGCCAATAGCAGAGTAGGCATTTTTGATCGAAGACTTTCTCGGCCGACGTCGTTCCCTAACTCTCCGACACCACTACTATCGATTCTATCGATGCGTCCGCATCTTTCATTCCTCCTTTTACTCTTACTTACTCCAAGAGATGGTGGATCTGCGACGGCGGTGGAACCAGGGTAACACCATGGAGCTGCTTTGTGGTCCGGGGCTGCCGAAGATTCAGCGCACATTTGGAGAGGGGTGAGTTCGAGGAAATCGGGATTCGACTGCTGAATTTGGGTCCAGGCATCACGAGGCATGGCTTGAGTGGCGCGACTGGAGGAAAAGGACTGGGGCTAATGGTACCTCCGCAGGAAATCAGGCTGACCGGTGAGGACGTTGGGCGCACAGAAAGTGTTGTTGACTGTCACATGTCCTGAATGTCTTGGGGTTTAGCATAGAGGGGTTTCCTTTACGGAAATCCTCTGCTGGGTTAGTTGGACTGGAGACAGGGAGTAACTAGGTGCACCGCGCGGGAACACCCCACCGTCTGTACAACAGAGTGACGATGATGACAGTAGCCCTCGGTAGATGCCTTTAAGGGTTCCCTTAAGGGTTCCCTTCAAGGGCTCCGCGGCCTCTGTTATCCGACCGGTGTCCTCTCCTACGATGACCGACTCCAAACCTCCACTACGGAGCTTCAGCGGGCGAAGAGTCCCCCGGTTCAGACTCCAGCGTTGCCTCTTTAAAGGGTTTAGGGTTAGGATTTAGGGTTTAGGGTTTAGGGTTTCTTTTAATGTGATTCCCTGGAGGTAGATGTCGGAAGAGGTCTAAGTCCTCGCAGACTCCTTCGGGGGTTGGTTGCAGAAGGTGAACTGTGAGAACTTTACGCCTAGCATATCCCAAGCCATGTGAAGTAGCCTCTGCTAAAAACCCTAATCCCGCTGTAGTCAAAGGAATGCAGGAAACAAAGAACTCGAAACCCTACACCCTAAACCCCTACAACCCCCAAACCTAAACCCTATACCCTAAACTGCGCGGTTCCCAGCTCAGGCCAGGAGCATTCCAGATGGGCGCTTGGCGCTAGTCGGCTGCGGCGTGCCAGTGAGGGGACAAAATGGCAAACTTGGGGGCGCGTCTTATGCTCAAGAAGGAGAGCCAGGTTTCGGGGTTCAGGGTGGGGCTTAGAGTCGGGTGAACACGAAAGGCCGCGATGCAAGGATCTGGCTAGCCCCTAGCCCAGTGGCAAAAAAAGGGTGGGGCTTAGGGTTTGGGGCTTAGGGCTTTGTGTTTAGGGTTTGCCGGAAAATGCCGGAGTCTGTTGTCCCAAAGCCACAGGGTTCTCAAAGCGAAGCTCCGTTTGACGCAGCTCCAAAAGACAGACGACATCCGAGAAGGATGAGTCCCACATCCGGGGTCCGTTTAGGGAAGTGGGTGGGCTGTGAGGAAACGATGCATCATCACCCCATCCCAAGTCATGGATGCGGTGTGAGCAGAGCGCAGTGAAGCGCTCAACTTCAGCCATGATGGGCAACATGTCCTGCAAGGAGCCCTGAGTGGTATCGGGGAGTCTTCAAGCTCTTGCATCCTCTCAGCTTGCCCCAAAAAGGATGCAGCTAAGCCCCCCGCCTCAAAGAATTACCGCCCCGGGAGCCTTGCCTTACCTTTGGTTAGGAGGGAATGGAAGAATGGTAGCAATAGTAGTTATAATTGTAGCCCATTTCTCCATTCCCTACAAACCAAAGGGCTAAGTTGCCAGCTCGGAGGTGATAAAGGAGAGGGTCAAGTACAACGACGTTGTTAGCTTCGAGGATGCCGGGGCCTCGATGAAGATGGGAGCTTCCGAAGAGAGGGGACCCTAATAAGGACCCCAAAATAAGGCCCCCCCTCCAATTTTCGGAAACTCCCAGATAGATCAGGAGGTGCGAGGTTTTGCTTCAACTCAACTCAGGTTTTGGGAGCTGGGATTCTATTTAGGGTTACCGGGTTGTTTCTGGTTTCGTGGTTCAAGTGCTTTTTACTCTCTAGGCAACATTACAATGCAAAAGTTGCGATGTGGTATTGCGCCGACCACTGTGAGGTAGGCCACGGCCAGCCAAACTTTTCATCGTTTCAAGCTGAACACACCCTCGAATTTGAGCGATATCCAGCACATTTCTTTACAAGTTAGCCTATCCTGCTTACTGCTAGTGCCCTCTAAAATGAACAAAACTGAACTAGCATTCTACAACAGGGTGCGGGCTGTGTGCTTGGGGGTGCAAGGTTTTTGAATTAGATGCTCTTATGCGTTTATTGTTGCAGGTCCGTTCTATCTTTCCCGTCACGCAAAATAATTCTGGTTAAGTCAGTGCTGAACGAAGCATGCTCGACTGCGACAGGAAGAGACGGTGAGACGGATTCACCTGAACTACCGATTGCTGTACCTCAAGGCCCGGCGGTTTTGGGGTCCCTAAAAACCTTAAACCCCAAAAACTCCAAACCCTAAAAGCCCTAAACCCTTAAGCCCAAACCCGGTGGTCCAAGGTTTTGGCGGTGTGGGGGGCCCCGCAAGCCGATACCCGCGCAGAAAGCAAAAGGCACCAAGCGAAAGCAAAAGCGCCGGAAAGCAGATTCTCAGACCCAAAGAATTCAAAACCCGCTGAAAGGAGGGACTGCAACTGTGCAATCTTGGTTCTCCCGACAATAATTGTGGCATCTAGCCACGGTCTTGCGTGTCCTTGCGTGCGCGAACCTTGAAGATGGCGCGGCAGAGAGACCGAGAGAGAGAGAGAGAGAGAAGCACCGTCGAACAACGGGGGGGCCCTTATGGCCGAGGGGCGTCGAACTCTCTCGTGCCCCGGGGAAGAAGAGAAGCACCGTCGAGAAGAGCCTTTCAACGGTTGCGTGAGAAAAGGACTTGTCACTTCATTGTTATTTGAGTCTAAGTGGTGTCATTCTCAGGTTCTCTGGCTCCTCTTGGCACCCTTTCGCTCGACTGATGCAGGACATCGTTCTTCCACGACAGCTTGATGATGCCGGCTGCTTATGGGAACTCCTGATGTGTTAAATCAATCATTCATGTTGTCATGACTCTTCACGGCTTCTGCAGCTATCCCTAGCCGTCGCTGTGACATGGATGAGTTCGCAGGAGCAAACCAAAATTCATCTTTTGTGACTTGTTGTTGCCAGGCCGGTGTAGAGATGCCTGGGCTTTTTGAGACAGCCGTTCGGAGCCACCGAAACTGATGCGAACATGTGCAGAAGGTGGAGGTGGTGGTGGTGGTAGCAGTAGCAGTAGCAGTACTGTAGCAGGAGCAGTAGCAGTAGCAGCAAGTAGTGGGGGGACACGGTGTGTCGTTCAGAGTCGTTCTCCTTTCAAAGGCAGCTTTCGCTTCCTTGCAGCAGTTGATCCACACAAACCTGACGGCCTGGAGCTTGATCACAGTTTGGCGGATTGGGCTTTGGGACCCACCGCAATCGGGGGATTATATAGACTTCAGCATCTGAACAGCCGCTTTGTTTTGATGTTCCCTGCAAGACCTGTTGCTTGTATGGCCTCCTCTCTAAATTGCTGCCCCGAAAAGGGATCAGATTCGTCGTGAGATGGGATGAGGTGGGCGTGCTGTCGCGCCTATGCAGCCTTTTCGAGTCCTCAAGCACTCTCCATCCCTTTCTGCAGCCTTCAGCCATGCGCGAGCTCGTGCACGTCCAGGGCAGCTCGTGCTCAAGAGTCTTCTTGTGCCGTGCTTTCTTGGGGGCTTCAGGATGACTCTGTACCGAAACAAGGAACTGGAGCTCAGAATTAGGGTTGTTGGTTGCTTGACTTTGAGGTATGACAGTGAAAGTTGTAGAGAACAGGTGGTTTCAATCCCTAGTGGGGTTCTAGAATCGATCTTGATGCCCTGCTTCGGGAGGCATAGCCTGACGATTTTCATGATGCCGCTAGCCGCCTACGGGCCCAGGTTGCTGGCAGACAAACATGCAAAGCTTAGGTGGCCAATGTGGAAACCAGATCGGAGCGAAGTTTTGGGAGGTCATCGCCGATGAGCATCTAGGTCGCACTTTGGGAAGACTCGATTTGTTTGTAATGGTCCTTACATGGTCCTAGAGGCACTTGTTCATACGCACCTTCGAGGGCCCCAAAGCTATCATATTATTTACTTTAGGCTTTTATTACGGCAACTAAAATTCACGCCCTTAGCACCCTCGGCCTTCAGCCCTAGGCCCTTACAGTCGGAAAAAGGTGTCGAAGAACACCAAGGCGAGACTGTTCGCTCGAGTGCGAGTCGAAACCCCAAACCCCAAACCCCCCAAAGCCCCCTAAACCCTAAACAACCCTACACCCCAAACCCTTCAACCCTTAAACCCCTAACCCCTAAACCCCAGGCCCCTAACCCCATCCCTAAAACCCAAACCCCAAACCCTGGGCCCCTGAACCTCTTTGACCGACCACGCACCAAGAGCCTCGCGTAGCTTGTCCGCGTGTGAGTGGCGAAACCCCCAAACCCTAAGCCTTTAAACCCGAAATGCCCAAACTCTAAACCCCCAAACCTTGTCAATTCTGAAACCTCAAACCCTACACCCGCCAACCCTAAACCCCTAACAGCTAAACCGCCAAACCCTAAGCTTTAAACCCAAGAACCCAGGCATTCAACCCCAATCCCTTGAAGGGAACTCTAGAACCCTAAACCGTTCAACCCCTAAACACCCAAAGAGATCCCTTTAAAGGAACCGGTGGTTCCCCAGGCCCCCTACACCCCAAACCTGAACCCATCCTAAAAATTTAAACTCCAGGAAGACCCCAAGCATGGCATCCCCCCAAACCCCCTCAGAGATCCCTTACAGGAACCCTTAAGGGCGCCCTTCAAAGGAGCCCAAGACCCGAAACCCTAAACCCCAGGCATGGCATCGACCCGACTGGCACCTACCACGGTGACTCCGACCTGCAGCTCGAGCGCCGCGCGGCACACGAAGCAGGGTGTAGGGTTCCGGGTTGAGGGTTTGGGCTTTTTTGCCCTGCTGTTGAGGAGTTTTCGCTGGCACACAATCCAAGCCCATACTGAAAAGGGTTTCAAACAAGGATTTAGGGTGGTTTCAGGGCTTCAGGGGGCTTTTGGGGGTTCCTTTAGAAAGGGTTCCGACAAGGGAACTTATTTCAGGGGTTTGGGGCTGTAGGGTTTAGGGTCCTTTAGGGTTGAAAGGTTTAGGGTTTGCGGGTTTAGGGTTTTGGGGGTTTTGGGTTTGGGATGGTTTGGGGATACTGTGAGGTTTAGGCATTGGGGTTCAGGGTTTGGGGTTCTTGGGTTTAGGGTTTTCTGGCCGTGGTCTGGCTAGACTTGGATTATGATCGCCAGATCCCACACCATGCCGGCTTGACAACCTCCACTGATCCCAGGCATCAACGTCTACTTCAATGAGGTCGTTGTTGGTGCATTTTGCGATTTTATTTTTTGGGATTTCTTGCTTGGGCTCCAAGACCTGCGGCTTAAGCTTAGGGTGTCGCGTGGCGCTGCTTCTACGTTTCTGCTTCGCGAGGCGACAGGTGGCCGCTACGTGCCGCGTGCCGTGCTCATGGATTTGGAGCCAGGCATGCCGACGTGGGTTCTGATTTTAGTAGCTTGGGGTTTCCTTCCAGTGCTTTAACTAACGCAGAGAGACCTCAGTTCTTGAGCCTGCTCTGTAGCCATGATTTGCATGCTCTTGAGTGGCTCTTGAGGATCACCCGATCGAATTAGATTAGATCCAACCCCGCGCGAAAACTTTTGATCTACAGCGTAGATCAAACTTCGACAGTACTTGTCCTCAAACATGGTAAATGTCAGATTGGGTTGGGCGGTGTCAATGGCAGAATGGGCGAAATAGATACTGACATGCAGCAGAAACAACCAACAGCTGACAAACCTAAGCACTCAGGTGCATGCAAGACCTGTCACATATCATTTCCACTTCGAGGTTGAGGTTTGAGGCTTGTTGAGTTTGCTCATCCCGACTGGTGGTTTTACCAGCGAAAGTCGAAAGTTTGACACGAGCGACAACGTGCACTCACTTCATTTCTGCACCCTATAGGAGGGGCGCACACGCCCAGGGACACGCCAATGAGCATGCCACCGAGTCTACATTCATTGACCGGCTCAATTTGTGCAAAGTGCTATGTAGATAAAAAGATGCCGGCAGGACGAGTTCTCAGAGTTTCGTGTGTCGTACGAACCGCAAAGTGTCTACAGTCATAGCATGACTCGAACCTTGCACCTTGTTTCTGGCACTTCTCACACTAAACCCTAAACCCTAAACCGAACCAGGCCCAGGCTTCAGGAACTTCGGGGAAACCAACCCCTAAACCCTATACCCTGAGCCCTAAACCCTAAGCCCTAAATCCTAAACCCTAAACCCTAAGCCCTCAACCCTAAACCCTAAACCCTAACTGCCAGGCACCATGGACAGCGTTCGAGCCGGACCTTTCGGTCAGCTCTTCCGCCCGGACAACTTCGTGTTTGGCCAAACTGGCGCTGGAAATAATTGGGCCAAAGGACACTTCGTTGTTAAGGAGCAAGGTTCTTGACTTTTCATGAAGACTTTCACGTCAGGGTAGAAGAAACCCTGGGATGTGTTTTCTAAACCCGAAACCCTACTCCCTTGTCCCCAAACCTTAAGATCCAAGAGCCGTCAACCCTAACTCCCTTTTGCATCGGGCCTTTACCACCGCCCGGTAATCCCCACATTCGCTTGACGAACCCTAACTCCCTAAACCCTAAACCAAAAGAGCCCAAGGACACTACACCGAAGGTGCCGAGTTAATTGACTCGGTGCTTGACGTGGTGCGCAAAGAAGCCGAGGGATGCGATTGCCTGCAGGCCCGGGGGCCCCAGACCGCGCAGGGTTGAACGGAGTCATGAGGGCCTTTTTTTCCAGACCGCTTTGACAGATGCATACTGTTGCAATTTTCTAGATTTGCTCCTTCGTTGCTGTTTCGTTGAGCTCGCTTTGCTCGAAGAGAAGGCTTGTCCAGAACAGGGCTCGCCGCACGTTTGCAGAACACCCGATTCAACGCCAGAAATGCAGCTCCGGCCGTCTCCCGCACCCCAACCCGCATACACCTGCGTGGCCTGCAGGGCTTTCAGCTCTGCCACTCCCTCGGTGGCGGCACCGGCGCGGGCATGGGCACCTTGCTGATCTCGAAGGTGCGAGAGGAGTGCCCAGGATGCAGAGGGGACCCAGTTCTCAAGCGGCATCATAGTGGGGCCTCTGCACCGAACCAAGGTACCCGGATCGAATCATGGAGACATTCTCCGTGATTCCATCTCCGAAAGTTTCGGACACAGTGGTTGAGCCCTACAATGCAGTGTTGAGCTTCCATCAGCTGGTGGAGAACTCCGACGAGTCTTTCCTGCTGGACAACGAAGCTCTTTATGACATCTGCTTCAGAAGCTCGGTCCAACCAGAGACATGTACGTAAAAGGGGAAGTTTAAAGCGATCTCACAGACTTAGCCTTTACAGAGCTTCGGAGACCGTATCAGTTTAGGAACTTTGAAGCTGACAACACCCACGTACGGCGACCTGAATCACTTGGTGTCTGCTGCCATGAGCGGAGTGACCTGCTGCTTGCGATTCCCGGGACAGTTGAACTGCGACCTGCGCAAGATTGCAGTGAACCTGGCACCTCAGGGGTACTTAGACATGTTTCTAAGTTTTGGGTTGCCATCTTAAAACCCTTAAGAAACAAAATGTTTAAACTTTTGGTTGCCATCTTAAAATATCTTAAAATCCTTAAAGAAGCTTCAGTATAGGTGCCCTTCCCTCGCCTGCACTTCTTCATGACCGGCTTTGCCCCCTTGACCTCCCGCGGCTCTCAGCAGTACCGCGCCCTGACCGTGCCCGAGTTGACCCAACAGATGCCTCGAGGATCTTGTTGAGTACATATTTATGCTTTTCATAATAAATACAACTCTTAAAAGGTATCGGCCCGAAGTTTCAACTCCTAAACTCCTAAACTCCTAAACTCCAAAAGCCTTAAAGAAAAGGTTCGATGCAAAGAACATGATGTGTGCCGCCGATCCCCGGCATGGGCGCTACCTGACTGCTGCCGCACTCTTCCGTGGCCGCATGTCGACGAAGGAGGCAGGTGATGAGGTGAAGACTTTGTCATCTTGCCCGACAAAAATACCCGCAGGTCGATGAGCAGATGCTGAACGTCCAAAACAAGAACTCCTCCTACTTCGTTGAGACTCGGCGGTGTGTTTACATAGAGGGATGGGGTTTGGGTCCAGTTCGTTCAGAATATCGCTGATCTATCAGGCGTTGTGCACTATGCCCCCCTGCTGAAGCAGTGGAGGGCCCATCCCTGGAAGAATGCGGGCCGCTTTGCTGTCTCGCCCTTTCCCGCGACAAACGAGCCGAGGAGTGGATCCCCAACAACATCAAGGCCTCCGTTTGTGACATCCCGCCCAAGGCGCGGGCCAGCCGAAGCCGCTTGAGCCGATAACCCTAAACCCTAAACCCTCATAGTGCGATGTGGGGCAACGCAGGAAAGTTTCATTGCCAGTTATAGCCGCACACGAGACTTTTATATGCCTGTCTGGCCGCTGTCTGCCAGGGACTCAAGATGGCGGTGTCCTTCGCCGGCAACTCCACTGCCATCCAGGAGATGTTCAAGCGCGTGGCAGAGTACTTCACGGCCATGTTCCGCCGCAAGGCCTTCTTGCACTGGTACACCGGCGAAGGCCACGGCGTTTGCAAGATGTGATGTGCAATAACATGAAGGACTAGTGTAAGCAGGCCATCCATAAGAAGTGCACGCAGAAGAGCCAAATCCACGCATTGAGACGAAGAATCCCGTTTCGTGGCCTTTCAGGCATGGACGAGATGGAGTTCACTGAGGCAGAGTCGAACATGAACGACCTGGTATCGGAGTACCAGCAGTACCAGGATGCCACCGCCGAGGAAGAAGGCGAGTTCGACGAGGAGGAGGGCGAGTATGATGGATAGGATGGATAGGCTGTGACATGGGAACTGGCCTCCCTGAATATCTCGGAGACCTAGGCCCGTGTGCGTTCCCGGCCGTGGTTTCTTCGTCCGTGCAATCTCAAGGGGAAGCGTTGTGTTGGGAGGTATTTCGATTCAAAGTCATGGTTGTGTAGTTGCGTTGTGCCGGCGAGAAACTGGATCCTGACTGCCTGTTACTGCATCTTCGAACCTTGTGTGCAAAAGGCCGTCTTTTCTGTGCGCGTTCTGCAGGGTTTAGCCACTGGCAGCAAGTCTTAATGATGAAAAGTGTCGTTTGTTTCCTACAGTCCTTTCCATGCCTGTCTCGCATTGGGCCAAGACCCAGTGCTAGATTCAATCGTGACACGTTTTTGGATTCAGGGTTAAGGTTTAGGGTCTGGTGTTTAGGGTTTAGGGAATTTAGGGTGGCATGTCCTGACTGCTCGTCCGACGGCTCTGGCATTTTGGCCCGAGGCCCCGTGCCAGATTTGCCATGGTGAGCAACATAGACGTTGCACCTGCTCATCGCGCTTGAAGTGACGCAGAGGCCGAGCACACCCTTTTCGAACAGAGGCTTCAGATCCGGAAGGACCAACAGAAAGCGAAAGGCACATGGCGAAGCAGATCTCCATTCGAAGTCCGACTCCTTATCCCGCCGCTCATGCCCTGCCCAAGCCAGTTAAAAGCGGAGGCCCTGCAACTCCGACCCTAAACCCTAAAAGAACCAAAGCGCCCGAACAGCACTGCCCGGACCGGATCGGCCGCGATGCCGCGGCCCAAGCTGCTGACGCGGGATTTAACCCCGGCCTGGCGGAGATGTCGGCAGGTCGGAGGGTTTGATTTTCCGATGTTTCAAGAACTGTTGGGTTTCGTCGGGGTTCATTGGCTTCTTTGGGGGGGGTTTGGATCAAAGTGCCTGTCATTCTGAGGTCTCCAGTCATGGCCGAACAAGAGAGCTCCATGTTCCGGCCAGTGCTGGGCCTGTGAGACCTGGGGCGGCCTGAGAAGTTCTTGAAGCAAAGGTCTCCCTTTGAGGCTCTCACTCGTAATCCACCAAGCCAAGAGAGCTCAGGCACCCCGGTCTAAAACTTTCTGAGCTTCCTGCCCTACCCGAGCCCTAAACCCTAAACCCTAAACTCCCAAACTGTCTGGATGCGTCCGAGTTGCGAGAGCGTAAACTCCCAAACTCGAAACGCTGCTCATATAGGTCATAATACTTCTACAACTTAAACTTTTTAATGTAAAGGTATATTCCTTAATTAGTCATTTTGCGACAATAATTTAGAGAAAAAGAATGTAAAGGTATATTCCGTAATTTGGGGTTCTCGGAGCCTTTGGGAAGCTGCTCCAGGAGCGGCAGCTGCCGCGCTCCTCCAGCCAAGCTGGGGAGGACGCCGCTTCCGTGGGATTTCGGCGTGTTCATCACGACGACGGGGGTAGACCACGCTGTCCGTGCTGGTGCTTTTGAATTGCAGTAGATGCAGAAGTTAGGGTATCGGTGATGCCGTTCCTGGTTTAAGCTTAGCCACTTTGCTTAAGCTGAGCAATGCTGATCTTAACCCTTCAGCTCCGAGCCTTGTGCTTCATCGGTTAGGAGCCCGGGAGGTCCATATAATGTAATATACTATGATACACTACAATATACTGTAATATACTACAATATACTATAATATACTGTGCTATAATATTCCTACCCCCACCGCTCGGCCTAACGCCTAAGCCTAACGTGGCCGCGAGTTTTTGGGGCGCAGGCCGGCAGCCCCTTGCTGCGCAGCCCTGGCGGTGCAGCCGCACTGCCACCCGAGTGGGTTCGGGCCCTGACCAGGAATCCAACCCCCAATCACCCGCAGCATATATTATAGTATATTGTAGCATATTGTAGTAGGAGTATTATAGTACAGTATATTATAGTATATTGTAGTATATTACAGTATATTATAGTATATCATAGTATATTACATTATATGGACAAGAGCGGTTTTTCGTTTATTCGGTGACTGACTGCAAGGCGTTGATGCCTTGGTTCAGTTGGCTTCACAAGACAATCACCCGACCCTTTCAGCTTCCCAGGTCGACCACGCGGAGAAGGCTGACGAGGAGGCACGAAGGTTTGGAAAGCTTTGGCAGATTTCCAGGTGACCTCATGAGCAGGCCCTGCTGCTGGAGATCTGAATTGTGTGCAAGGTCTTCTTGCTCACCAATTTTGCCGGTCTTGAAATTCATTCTGCGGCGTCAGAGCAAAAGCTGATTGCTGACAATGATGCAATCATCATCACCACCACCACCACCAGAGTCATCACTATAGTAGTTTGCAAACGAGAATGATGGTGGTGATAGTCGTGGCGATAGTGGTAATGGCGGTGGTGATGTTGATGCCGATGGTGCTGGTGAAGCCGATGAGCCGTGTGGTAATCCGTGGAAAAGAGCGCTGGTGACATTAGAGGCCGGTGGAAAGCACTTATGTTCCTCCACTTCTGGTCTGCTTTCGTGAACCGATGAGACTCCAGAGATCCCAATACCCCTTAATGAAGGAATATACCTTGAATTATGAGGGGATTCATCTTATGATTTAAGCTGTATTCCCCCATTAAGGGGTATTGGGCTCTCTGGGACGGAGGTGAAGGAGATCCAGTCCCAGTTGGAGAAGCTCCAGGCGGCTCAGAAGAGGAGCCTTTCTGCAGAGTGGGATATGATATACTCTTATATAATATAGCTATTATATACAGTACCCAGTATATAGCCCCATTATAGAGCAGGGGTCCCCATCTGCATCTGAAGCGGTGGGTCGAGAGGGCACTATTGCATTGAGTCCCGTCTCAACGTTTCTTGTGGTCTACGCATGTAGTTCGTCATCGGAGGTTTGGGAAAGAGGGTAGGGCCTTACCGGGTAGGGCTGGGGCAGCGAGGGCGAGGATATCTTCCCGCGGAAAGCTCCCAAGCTTAAACTTCGACACTACTTGGTCCGTGTCCGGATCTTGCGTTCCATGCCGGTTTCACAGATTGACTTCGCAGTCGCGAGCTCCCTTACGACCCGAGGGGAGGTCGCCTCTTGCCCTGGAAGTCCCCAGAGCCAGAAGTTCCAAAAAAGCGCTGCGGAAAGACTAGACTAGACTACGGTCACAGCGAAACTCGGCTTTGCAAAGCCCACGGAAGAAGGCCCTAAACCCTAAAGCCCTAACCCTAAACCCTAAAGCCCTATACGGCCCAAGAAGCCTTTCAGGAGGCTCGCCCTCATGGACGAGACCGAGGAGGCACGGAGCCGCGAGAGAGAGGCCGGCGGCTGAGCTTTTCTTTTTGTATTACGGGATCTTTAGGTTCCTTTAAGGGACCTTTAGGGTTCCGTTATAAGGGATCTTTAGGGTTCCTTAAAGGGATCTATATGGTTTAGAAGTAGAACCCATAAAGTTGGAGGCCGGATTAAGGCCAAATAGTGCTGGGATTCCGTATGCATTACTCTTCAGGATTGAGGCTGTTGGGTTTCCAACTTTTGGGCTTCTACTGTAAGCATTTATCAGTATAAATAGATTGGGGAGGTTGGTCTAAGGGTTTTCCGGTTTAGGGTTTTAGGGGCTGAGGGGTGTTGGCAGTTTCTGGTTGGTTAAGGGTGCGGGGGATCCGGTCTGCTGCGGTTCACTTCGAGTCGGGTGAGCCTGCAAAGTTGGGGTTTCTTACCTCGGGTTAGTAGGGAATGGAGGAATGGGGTATAATTATAACTACTATTACTACCATTCTTCCATTACCGACAAACCAAAGGTAAGGTTTGGGGTTAAACGGGAAAGGGCGCGAGATGTTTTCTGGGTTTGAGGGTTTGGTAGGTTCAAGGTTCAGAGTTTGTGGTTGTCTTGGAGACAGCTTCTGTGGGTGCTGTCCGACCGAGGTTAAGTGCCAAGCCTGTTAAAAGGGTAAAAGTTATTCCAATGGCACACGTTTTCGCGAGGTCGAGGCTCTCTCCAGCCGCGTCTCCATGCAGATCCGGTGCTGTGCATGGGCCGCAGAAAGTCGGCATGTGCTTGACCCAGTGCGCCGTATCGGCCGTATCGACTGGAAAGTACAACTTAAGAGTCTGGAAAGGACAACTTAAGAGTTACGGCGTTGCTGGTAGGATTGGCAATACGGAATACTGCCTTGAAGGTTCGCACATCCCGCGATCGATGCCCGGTAGGTGAGCAGACACTCCATCAGATTCGGGCAGCTGGGGGTGCAACCTCCGGACTGCTTGCGCCTTGGAAGCAGACGCTATGGAGCTTTGAGAAGGGAACTGAAAAAGTTCTCTGCAGAGACTTGCAAAAATCGGTTTAGCTTGTGGCGGATTGATAGTGATGTTGATCATGGCGGCGATGATGATGGCGGGTTATTGCATGTTTGTACAGCATGTATCACGAACGCTCATGAGACAGTTAGGTGTAGCATCCCTGAATGCTCGCTGTGCGTGTCATAGCCCGGCTACAGTCAGAGACCTGGATGCAGAATGGGTGGGGCCTGGTAGCGTCCTTTGTCGCGACACAACCTTATGAGAAGATCCGCAACTTGCACGGGTACGAGCTTCTCCGCTTCTTGCAGACACTCTGGTTTCGAGACCAGAGCTCAAAGATGATGTGTTAAGTCAGGCTTCATGAAGCGTATTAGGTGCATGGTGGGTGTCTCAAGGAGGGGCCCTTAAATCAAGACTTCAAACACAACTTTCCAGAGCCCAAGTTTGACAAATCTGACCCGAACCCTTGCCTTTCCCGAATGCTGATTCTGCTTGGAATCGACATGCTCTGGACCGCCTGCAAGGCGGACCCGATTTAGTCATAGTCAACCGGCCCTGCCCTCTCAACGTGGGCACCATTGTCTCAGGCATGCAGAACCAGAGCCCGAGGGCAGGACGGCGGCGAAAACGAACCTGACCACAGAAGCCCAATGAGCCATTAGGCCTGCCCCTCCCTGAAGAGACCCAAACCCCCACCTACAAGGCCCCAAAACTGAACCCTAAACCAAAAACCCGGGACTCAATTCCTCGCCAAGCCTTGTCCGAGAGTGAGTGCTGAAACCCTCAACCCGCAGTGAAGGCGAGTGCGAGAAACCCTCAACCCTAAACCCTGGACAGGCCAAAGAAAAGGCCCCAAACTGCCCAGGATGGGGAGTTCCCTAAACCCGAAACCCTAAATCCTGGACAAGCCAAACAAAGGCCCCAAACTAAACTGCTCAGGATGGGGAGTTCCGTCAGAACGTCCAGCGCAACTTGGCGTCGCAGCTGCAGCAGCTCTCCAAACAGTGCCGCGAGGTGCGCCAGGGTCTCCTGGAAGTGAGCATGAATAGCTGTCCCACCGTTCGAACCTCCCATACCGTCCTAGCCCGTGTGCCCTGTCCCCTGTAGTGTAGAAGAGTCTCTTGGGACCCAAGGTCTTATGTAGTAGAAGGATATTCGCCACTTGCAGAATTTCATTACTGCCAGCGCGACATTGACTTCAGTGTGTTGGCTGGGGTGTCTATGCATTCATGAGGCCAGATTTGTCCGTCCTCTGTTTCAGTCGAACTGAGCTTCTAGCTCGAGGGAGACATGCCACAAGGAAACAGCGTGGTGTACACGCTGCTCCTGCATTGCAGTAGTGCGACTAGCAAGACTTGCAGTGTGAACAAGAGGGCTCCTCAGAATGGCCATCAGATGTAGGCTAGCCAACCATCTAGCGCTGGTATTGACCACAAGAATCAGCAGAGTGGTATTTCCACGGATTGCAACTTCTGGAATCGCGTCATTCTGAATGAGAGTTAAAATCAGTCATCGCAAAGTGGAGTAAGACACCTCAAAGACCCGAGGACGAGACAGACAGTAGGCCATACAAAACCAAGACCACAACCAAGTGTTTTACGCCGATTTACGTTATTCCTTTGCCTGAAGTGTTGGCTTGAGTGCATCCCCGGGGGGTCGTCTTCAAGCAGGGTTCCTGTAAGCCACTTCCTTAGAGTCAGCTCCCAAGTCTGAAACAGCCCTGCCTCGCAAATCGCCATGAGGGTGTCAGTCAGCCCAACTCGCAAGGCGCAGCGGGCCTACCTGGGCGAGCTGCGCCGCCGCCACGCTGTCACAGAGCCAGCGCGTGCGCCCCAAGGAGCTGAGCCGGCACGCCGGTTCACGCACGAACATCGCCTAAGATGAGGTCGTCGAGGAATAGGCCACCCATCAGGGCGGTTTACTGGCGGCTTGTTAGCTAGATCTCGGCTTCGTGAGCTCTCGTGACTGAAGTGACCGTCATTACAAATTTTAGAGAAGCGAGGTGGGGGTTTTCGGCATCAATGCAAGGGACTTCGGTCTGATAAGGCTTATGTGACTTATGTGTTATAGCAGAGCGAGGCACCAACCTTGAAAAAAATGACCCGTTGGTGAAGGAGAAGGTGATGTGCCTGCAGCGCCCGTTCAGATGCAGAAGCAGCTGCAGGAGCGCGACAAACGGTCGGGTTCTGGGTCCGGACAGCGCCTCTTAACTTCTAACGATGTGCCAAGGGTGAGGGCGAAGCTACGAAGGGTCCAAGATGGGTCAAGTCCTCATGCATCTTTCCATCTTGCAAGCTGAAGGCCCCGAGCCCACCTGCATGCTGATTACTGCGAGCCAGTTTGCACCACTTCCGCAAAGGGCCGGAGGGCGACTAGGGCCCAAGCTGGTCTTGAAAGCGAAGAAAGCAGCCCCTTGCGGCAGGAGCTAGATGACATGGAGATTGTGGCTGCCCAAAGGAGCGCTGAAACGGTGAGGTTTGGTTGAAGTGAATGCAGGGGAGAGACGGCTGCGTGTGAACTTGATTGGACTTTCAAGTCTTCCCGACGCTTCGACCCCTCACCGAATCTAAAGCAGCAGCGGTGGCTGAAATCGTCACGACAAGAACAGTCGCCATGCCCTAGAGCTTTCAGAGATCACCCGAGGAGCAGCGAAATCGCCCAGATCGCGTCTTCCGTTGTGGAGTTGAACAGGATCTTCAAGGAGCTCCTTGCGGCTTCCTCGGGTTGAGGGCTTTCAGTGGCTTTTAGGATACTTGCATGTGTAAAGCCTTCTTTGATCCAGAAGCATTGCGTTTTTCTTTTTTTTTTGTGCCGGGGGCTACATTTCTACTCTTTCTTGAGGGCTTTGGCCTGTGGCCTGTGGCATGCGATGATCGCGCGCGATGTTGTTTTCGAGCCGCCCCCTACACCCAAAACAACCTGGTTTATGCAGCTGGAATCTTCGCATTCGGCTCGTGGATAGGTGTGTTTAGCGGTTCTACCTGTTTGTAACGTGGTTGCTGGGTTCAGGGTTCTGAAGTAATTGCCTAGGTGAAGCCCAGCCAGGACCTGGCGGCTTTGGTCATCGATCAGGGTACCATCCTGGACCGAATCGACTGCAACGCAGAGAAGATTTTCCAGAGGCCTCTTGGTTGCGGGCTTTGGAAGAGAAGTCGCTCCCAAACTTGAAGCATAACATTCCTTGAACCGGGAAGGACTGTCTGCTCCTAGCTTTTCAGCCCAAAACTTGAAAGATCGAAAGCCCTACGGCTGCAACAGCCAGAAACCGTAGGACTCGGGTTGTTGTACAGTAGCTTTGAGACCTCGTTGCAGGAGTGCGCCAAACCCTAAGCTCCCGCCGGCAACATAGCCTGGAGGACTAAAAGTTGCAGTTCCGCAGTAGTGGAGGTAGGATGGCAGTCACTGCAAGAGCAACGTCATGGCTAATGGCACAACAACTTGCTTGATTCTCAAGGCGTGAGCTGTTTCTCTAAGCCCCTTTTTAAAGCCCTGGTCGTCGCGAAGCCTTGCCTGCCCGGTGCGAGTGTTCGAGTTCCTCAAGCCTTTGCTCCTGTTGTCCGACACCTTTCCGACAAGCCTCGCCTGGGCTTGTCCGAGTTGTGAGAGCGTAACCAAGTTTTCACTTAAACCACCGCGGATACCCTGAAACTCATAATCGGCCCCAGCACGGAAACCCCAAACCCGTTCTGGAGAGTCCAAGTGTGAGTCTAAGCCGCTCTTGACAGGTCCGATGAGGCCAAAGGTCAACTGCAGAAAGCCGTGGTCCGTAAGAAGGCCCAGGGGCTGCATTTCGGGGCTTAGAGAGGTTTGTGTCTAGGCTCTGGTCCCTAAACCCTAAACCCTAAACCCCATAAGCCACTACCTTCTGTTGAAGCTGTTTTCTGAAGAGTTTCCCCCTCTGCATTGCTGCGTCCTCAATGTAGGATACAGGTCGTCGGCTTTGCTCATCTCCTGTACTCTATGGCTCTAACTTCTGTTGCCTTGTTTTTCACGAAGGAGTTGAGTGAAGCTCTTAGTCTGACTGTGCGCACCAAGAACCTCGTCTGGCAGTGTCCGAGTTGCGAGAGCGTAAACCCCATAAGCCCTAAACTATAGTTTTGAGGCCAAGGGTTTGAGGGCTGAGGGAGTCCTGGCATGCCTGGATTTTTTTGATGTTTGGTTCGGGTTGCGTCAGTTTAGGGTCCGAAAGATAGCGAGAGAGGGCTGCAGTTTTGGACCCAAGAAAGAGGAATCGCATCAGCTGGAAGTAGCAAGACTGTGGCCGAATCGCGACATGATTGGACTGCGCACAAACGCGAGTTTGCATTCGTAGTGATAGTACTGAGCACCGACAGCAGCAGCTGCAATGACCCATGGTAGCAAGGGTATATAAGTCTGGGCAAGCGGAAACAAGAACAGTGGCAGCGAGTAACGGCAGGAACGAGGAGGAGGAGGAGTAGACGGCAAGCTACTTCATTTCTCTGCTGCACTGCTCCATGTTCCGAGACCTGATACAATTTTGACCTCAGCCCTGGATTCTGAATCCTTCTGAACCTTGAACAAAATTAGCAGGAGAGCGACTCCCGCGCCTGGTATTGCCTCCTGGTCTGCGCCTCAAAGGGCGCACGCTTTTCTGGAGATCGTCCGTGCAGGAAGGCACAGGAACAACAGGATCCGGCCTGTAGAAAGACACGAAAGCTTCCATAACTCGGATATATATATATATATATATGTATGTATGTATATATATATATATATGTTTTAAATATATAAATAAGAAAACATATTATATTATCATACTATATCATACTATATGAAAAATTCCTAAACCCTAAACCCTAAGCCGGGCGTAGGAGCCATCCTCTTGAGGCTAGCTTAGGACCTTCGGTGCCTTCATCACGGGGGCCTCAAGGCGTGATATAGGGCTAATATAGGGGCTTTGGGGCCCGTTATACTATCATCATAATAATAAGGAGCCCCCAAAATAGTAGTGGTAATGATTAAGGCCCCTATATTAATCTGACCTGCAGCCCAAAACTCTCTATCGCAGCTCTTACGTGCATACGGTGAGTGCATCCAAGATGTGGGGAGCAGCAGATGCAGTTCTGCTGCTCGTCCTCCTCATCAAGTACCAGCCCCCTGCCTGCAACATAGGGGATGATCATGCATCAGGCATCGAGGGCTACACTTGGACGCAAAGCCCTACAGCAACCCATCACTTGAAACCCTCAGACACCTGAGCACCCAAAGCCTTTCGTCGTTAAGTCCCTGGACGGCAGACTCCCCTGCTTGCAGAGCTCCAGACGCGAACCTCAACTTGAAACTGAAGCTTCTGAGCTTCACCGCGACCCTGAACCCTAACCCCGAGTCCAAGCCCTAAAGCTAGAAACCGAAATGACGAAATGCCTGCGCTCGGAACCCTTCGAAGACCCCGCATGTCCCGATCTTCGGTGATCTTGGGACATGTGGTTTGTTGAACCACAGCGTCGTGGGGTTGGGATGTGCACGTTGGGTTTTGACAATTAGGTTTGAGGGATTTCGATGTTTTTTTTGCGCACGGAGCAGGGTGTGAGGTTAGAGGTTGGGGGCTTAAGAGGTTACGCTGTTGGAAGTAGGGGTTTCTGGAGATTTGAGGTACAGAGGATTACAAGCTGCACCTCCCAAAAGAATATTGAAACCTCGCATGACTGTAGTTGCATCGATGGCAACTGCCTTTCGAACAATATTTTGGACACCCGGAAAAAGCAGCAACTTCGATGCAAATGGTGGTCGGCACAGTCGCAGTGCGTGCAGTAATTGTGATTCTCGAAGTCAGACGAGAAGGAGTCGGGTGTGGATGCCTAGTTCTGGCTAGACAGCACTGACATCGATGCGGGCTGACATGAAGAGAGAGATCACGTTATGAATCTTTCTGAAATCCGAGACGCATCGTCGTCTGCTTCTGCGACGTAGCCAAAATCTGCAATACACCGAGGCTGAAGTACGGCTTGAAGAACGTCTTGATCTTCGTGCTGGTGGCCGGTGGCCTCATCACCGCCTTCTACTGCTGGTTGCGCCACTGCCGGCCCAAAGCTCTGGAGGAGCATTTCGGGTTTCTCAACGTTTCGGGGTCTAAGGGTCTAGGGCTCTTAGACTTTGGGGTTCTTGAAGTTTGACGTTTGGGGTTCGTAGGGTTTCGGGTTGTCACGTGCGTTGTGCTTGTGTCTTTGCTGGTTTCACTGGGCCCTGGGGATCCTACAGTAAAGCCTTTCTTCTGGCATGTGAGCGGCAAAGGCCCAGACCTTGGACCCTAGACCCTAGACCCCAACGTATTCCGATTAAGCAGGAGGAAAAGAGCCTCCAAACAAGACGACAGACCCTCGACTTACAAACGTCAAGACACGAAACGAGGAAGGCCCCGCCTACCTGGATCGTGTGATCCCTGAGGCCGATTTGGGCTCCTTTTTTTTGGAAGAGCTTGGGGGTGCTTTAGCATGGAGTGTTTCAGTCGAAAGGACGAGCTCGGATTTGTTTCGGGGTTGAGCTGGTGTCCTGCAACTTGGTGTAAGAGTATGTCCAGGGACCAAAGTTGCCACGCCTGAGCCTGAAGTAAGCCAGGAGTCGTTTCATCAGAGAGGAGAACACGAGCAACAGCAGAGCGGATCCTAAGAAGAGGAAAGAGAACTACGCCTGTGACAGCAACACGAAGAGTTGTGATTCTTATGTTCTGAAGCCATTCTCCAGAAGTTCTAGGTTCTGGAGCTATTAGAGGGAAGCCCTCTATTCGGTGAGGGCTATCGCCCGAATGACATCTGGAAGAAGATTCGCCCGGGTCCGATCAACACGGCCCAGCAGCTTGGAGTGACCCACAGCTTCCATGCCTCCAAATGCAGATGCCCGAAGCAGGAACCCCAATTTTATGCCGCTGTTTCAGAAATCCGTAACAGAGAATATGTTGTATGTATATATGTATGTATATGTATATATATATATATATATATATATATATACGTATATGTAGGTTGCAGACGCCCGGACCAGCCTCACTTTCTTTACATCCTATCCAAGGATGGGGGTCTCGGCGATGCGTGCTGGTCCATAGTTGAATCGCTGCGTCCCCGCGGGAGAAAAGGGCGCCCGTCTTCTTCCAGCCTGGCGCGCCGTTGCAGACTGCACATAGCTGCCATCCCCGACATCCTTACCCTATGTTAGGCCGTGACATTAAACCCCCTAAACTCGTCAAACTATGGTAAGGTGTGGTTTGCTACCGCAGGGCATGGCGCGGCACCGTAAAGTGTGGTATGTTACTCTATGTTTTTGTATGCCACAGAGCCAAGCCACAGAGCCATAGAGCCACAGAGCCGCAGAGACACAGAGGCACACAGATATGTAATGTAATTTAACGCAAAGTGAAGTAGGTAATGTAGTTGTTTAGTGTAGTGAATGTAATGTAATGTAGTGCAATGTAACAACATGTAATGTAATGTAATGTATGACATGGTATGCTGTGTATGTGCACATATATGCTCAGAGAGTGTCGGCAGCCCTCCTCTCGAGGTTATCCTCGAGCATCTGCAGAAGGGCCCGGAACTCCTGGAGAGACTTCTAAAGAAGGTGGGCGAAGAGGCTCCCGGATTGGGATCTTTCCGGTTTAGGGTTAGGGGTTTTGAGGGCGGTTTTCAGGTTATTGTTTTTGGCCACAAGTTAAACAGGGGTGTGCAAGAGGGCGGTTTCTAGCATGCTTCTTTTTTTGACGGTGCCTGAAGGGTTTTTCACGATTATGAGGTTGAGCGATTGAAAGATGAGGGCTCGTGGCTTTCAGCAACTTCTCGGTGGTTCTACACGGGTACATGGGCAAAAGCAAACGGTTTGGGTTTCATGTGGGTGGTTGAGAAATCTCACGGTGTAGGGTGTGGATTTAGGGGGGTTTTGGAACCTTACACGGTAATGCAACTGGAATAGCAAACTTTCGGGACACTTGACCATCCATTTTGCCATTAGAAACCAATGGCAGAGTAGCGGAGTGCCCAGAAAAGCATCCGTCGAGCTGAGTATTCTACACCCGTTTGGAACTTACACTGCTCTATACTTCGTGCTCATTGCTGGGAATGGAGGAGGGAGAAGGCACCTCCATGTTGATGGGGCACAAGTGTGTCAAGCATTCGTTCGTTTTTCCGTGTTTTGGACGTTGAGAGCTTTCGGACTGCATCCAAGTTCAGCCGAGCGCGTTCGGCAGGACATGCAGAGCCTCCTGTTTCTGCAGGATGTCTCGTGGCTTGCAACCTTTTTCGATCTTTGCTTGGGGAGAGTGATTCAGGGTTGGCGGCTGGTAATCTTCATGTCGGGGCTCGCCGGGCACGGGCACATCCCTGCGTAGCAGTCGCTGGTTCCCTGGGTTCCACGAGCACTCTGTCTCATTGAGTTGTTGGACATCCCGCGCGAATCACCTGTAAGCCCGCAGCAACAGCGAAGCATGCAGCAAGATGGTTTGAGCCCGAATCCACCAACATGACGAGACTTGTTCACATAAAGGGGGGGAGTGGGTTTATGTTGTGCCGAGGATGTGGTGGTGTTGGTAGTTGGTGATGGTGAGCACTAAGACTAATACTAATGCTGGTTGTAGTACTAGCCTTTGTACCACCAGCACCACGACCACGACGACAACAACCACTACTGCTGCTAGTACTACCGATCCTATACCACTTTAACAACAAGTAGTAAGTAGTACGAAAAGTTGTGTTTTGATCGTGCGAGCGGTAGTTTCAACGACGAGTGCGGTTTTCTACTTGTAGCTTGGGCCAGAGCCTCTCGTCCCCGCCGTGGTCGTAATGCTGGTTGTGTTCGTCATCGTCCTCATCGCAATCGGAGAAATAGATAGTCATTGCAGCATCGGCAACAACGTTCAACATCTTAGAAACAATATTCTACAATAAGCATGCATCGAACGACCACGGGCGCCTGATTCCCAGGCCTGCCGCTTGTCCAGGCAGATCCCTCCTACGAAACGGCAGGCCATGAAGGGCTTTTACTGGCTGACAGGCTAAGACAACGCCAAGCATGATTGGGATCAAAGCTTGGCATTTTTCACTGATGTAAATGCACTTTGTCCCTGAACAGGAGCTATACAACAAGATGGCAGCTGCGGGTCTTTTCGACACGCTGGCCGTGTACTTTAGTACAGAGCTTACGACAGAAGAGATTCGCTCCTTGAAACTTTGGCTCTTTGGGTTGATTATTTAGATGGTAGACGGGTGACCATGAGCACTGCCTGTACTAGCAGAGGCTGCCCAGAATGACAGCAAGCAGGACAAGTAGTTGCGGCTGCCTTGCTCCTATTATCTACAGCTAGGCGGCATCTTTTGTACTGGTAGGAGAAGGAGGAGTTGTTCTGCTCCTTTTCGGTCCATACTCGTCCGTTACTATGAGTTGTGGCGCAACACTGTCACTTTTTGGCTGTAGACTCAACTTTTCAACTTTTGGGGCTCTTATAAGGTAGTCGATTCCGAAAGTTTCAACTTGTGTATCCTTGGGGTTTGGGCTACTGAGGTCAGTAGTTTTTGCATCAGCACCTGTATGTGATAGTACATGGTATTTCAATCGTCAATCTTTCCAAACATGAAATGACGGGCGACGATTTTACTTGTGATAGGTGTGCACAAGTCGCACTGCGCAGACAACCAGTCGAGTCGACGGGCAGATCGCCAGGAGGATGACTTTTTGCATTCACTTAGTAGTCGTGTGCTGTATTGTTTTTCAACATTGCCACACGCATTGCGTATGTGTTCGTGTGTGCGTAAAGGCAGACAGGCACAAACGCCGGCGAACTTGTTCGCGCGCAGAGACGGAGCTGTGCGCTGTGGGCATAGTCCCCTGGTAGCCATGCAGGAAGGCACGGTCGTCTCCCTTTCAGCATACATGGGTTTTAGTCGAATCTAATCTGTGCTGTACATGATACGTACATGCTCGTCTGCCCGTGTGTTTGTGGACGACATTTCTTCCTGTCGCGACCAATGCCCCTATGGTAGCCCTTATAGGATCCGTTAAGGAAACCACTATTCTAAATATTAAGGTCCCTATATGCTAGTACCCCTTCTGTTCCGAGATGCCCCGGCAGAGCGCGATGGGGAGCCGGAGGCGCGCCCCAGGGTAGGGATGGATGGATGTTTCAAGGAGACCTCATATTTTCCGGTTCTTCTTCAAGGCCTGGGCCTATAGGCCCCATAAAACAGACCCCGTTTCCTGAGCCTCAGTTCCACGCCGCATTCCCTGTGAACGGCGCAGGGGGGAGTGCGGAAACCCGCGGAGCATCCGGCCCAGCACCATGCGGTGGAGGCGCGCGTCGGCCTGGGTGTTGAGAAAGAATACGGATCCTGTTGAGAGGGGAAAGCTGTCACTGGCTTATGATACGACAGGCTTCAAGCATCGCAAGATTGGGAGCCCACAGCCAGCCATGGAGCAGTGATCGACTAGCCGAAAAATTCGATGCCGACTTGACCTTAAACTCCGAATTCCGAACCATCTCCAGAGCAATTTGGGCTCCAGCTGTTTATGGCGAACGCCAAAACCAACGAAGGCTTGCGAATTCCATGTCTCTTCTGCTGCTGCTGCTGAGCCCCAGAGATGCGAACCTTGCATAGCCAGTTCGATGTTTCATCTGCAGCTCTCATCCAGAACAAGGTCGATGTCTCCTCTGCTGATTCCCGGCCTCTGAGAGATGCAGTCCATCCGGAGCACTTCTCGCACGTGGCCGTGCCGTTTAGCGCGAACATGGTCGTGCCAGTACTTCTTTGTGTATGTCTTCTTGTCTTGCACGAGCGACGTGTGGAGGCAGGAGCAAAGCCTTTGCTGGCAAGCCACAGCCGCAACAGTACGGTGCTCCTGCAGACGGCATTTCTTGTATTTTGGATGGTTCCTTTTCTCATCGACTCCATGTTCATGTCATTGTCACTGGACTATGCCTTAGCTATGGGCGAGTCCGCAACTGCCAGTGGTGTTTTTCTCGGTGCAGCCGCCGCGGGTTCTACTGTCGGGATCATCATAGGGCGGGGCTTCACCAGTGAGACAGACTGGAATCAGAAATACGCTCGAAAGATTTTTGTCTACATGTACGGACTCTCATTGATGGCCATGCCGGTCATCGCTATAAGCATCCAGACTTCTGTGGACTGGAGCTCTGGTGCCAAAAGGAAGATGTTTTGGTTCGTGGTCGTGCTGAACTTCTGCACTACCTGTGTCGGCAGCATTCCAGTAGTTGCCTGGAGCACCATGTGGAACATTGTCACACCACAGAACGAGAAGACTTTCTGGATGATGCTGACTCAATCCGCACGGAATGCAGGTTTCATTCTGGGACCTCTCTACTTGGCAGGCGTCAGTCACGTCCTTCGAAAGGTCCGGGATGTTCGTGCTGTATCCCCAATCAGCATGATGAGCTGGGCTTTCATGGGCTCCTTTTTCATCCAGCTTGTCGAGTTGGCAGCCTACTCGCTGATCATCCCCACCCACCTTCAACCAGCCGATGGTGCAGAAGAGGTGGAAGCCTTGTGCGAAGAGGAGGCTTCAGGTGGGTAGTTGTCAAAATTAAGGTCCCTTTTTGGGCGCTGTAAATATTAGGTGCCGTACAATACTAAGGACCCAAAAAGGGACCCTGATTTTGACAACCATCCAGGTGTATATCCCGAGCAGCTGCCGGCCGAAGCTCGCGAGCAGATGATGCGGGACGTGGTCTTCTACTTCTACGAACGGACCTTCTCAACAGGAGCCGTCGAGGTCGCCACGGTTATGCTTCTAGAGCTTCATTACGGATGGTCTCCTGAGCTCAGTGGAAGCTCCTTTGTTGTGATTGCTGCGGGAAGCTTGCTACTAACCGGAGTTTCGGCTTTCCTCCTTTCCAAAAGGTTCATGACCGAGTCCTACATATTTGTGCTCACGATGTGTTTGGGCTTCGCTGGTTCAATCTTTCTCTTTGACTTTAAGCTCTTTGGTGCTGGCGCTTTGCTAGCTGCTGATGCCTTTGTCTATGGTGGAACGAGCGTTGCCACTGGCATTGCTGAGGGTTGGGCGTGTCGTGCGGCAACTCCCGGAACGGCATACAACATCGAGACTTTTCGAGCGCATAGTGTAGCTGGCGTGAATGTCAGCCGATTTCTTGCACCGATCGTTGCACGATTCCTTTTGGAATTCGGGGGGCGGAACCTCTATGCAGCCGTGCAGTCATTCCTGTGCTTAGTGGCTGCGGTCACAGTACATCGGATTGTTTCCTCGGCGGCCGCATCTCAGCAAGCTGCCAAAGGACAGAAGAGCTCCGACGAGAGTGCAGACTCCGGTGAAGCGAGCGGCGCCATGCATGAATGACGCGGCGGACATGCTGCGAAACCAAAAAGAAGGTAGAAGCTGATGTCATCGCAGGGATGCCTTTGCTCCAGCTGGGTTATATAGCGGGGATCCATCACTCAAATCCTCGCAGTGGCTGTTGTCATTGTCTGCCGTCCTGGATAAGCTTCGCCTGCCCGATTTCGAGAGTCCACACTTAAGATGCCAGGTTCATGTTAACAGTTGAATTATGGATGTCAGCCATGGCAGTTGCAAAAACCAAACACGAGAAGGGGGACATGGAGAGTGAATGGGATTGCATCCTCGCGGCGGTATGCGGATGCAAGCTCAAGTAAAAAAGCGTTGCAACCTGAAGCTTGTGGTTTCTTGGTTTTGTTTCATGTGATTCTCATCCGTTTGTCGTTTTGCTCAAGACCTTTTTGTTTTTTGTCTTCGCGGGGTCATCTGCAGTCAAACCAGCGCCGTGATTCTATGCACTGGCAGGAAGCACAAATGTGGGGGTTTCCGAAAACTAGGGATACCTTAATTTTGAGGTCCTCATAATAAGCATCCTGGTATTTAGGGTGCTATATTGGGGTCCCCTCTTTTCGGAAACTCCCATCTGGACCCCCAAAACCCTAAAGCCTTAAAATCCATTATTATAGATCCCCTCAAGGAGCCCTTATGGTACCCCTATTTTCGGAAACTCCCATGTAAACGCTGTGAAGCGTCCTGGCCAGGTGCTGCTTTTGCACGCCCGGACCTTGGCGGGTTCAGATTTTGAATTACGGGCCTTCATAGTTACCAATACTACTTTGGGGGTTCCCTTAAAGGGATCCTTAAAGGGGTCTATAAGGGATCTATAGTAGGGTTCTGTGGTTTAGGGGCCTACAATAGCTACCAGTACTATTTTGCGGGTTCCTTATTCGAAGTATAGTATAATGCGCCCCAAAGCCCTATTCTAATTATTAGGGCCCCGATGTTAAGTGAGCAGGCTCTGGGTTTCGGCTTCGTGGCATTGGGATTTGAGGTTCTTGTTGCCAGGGTATGGATCGTGTTGAGACATCCCTAAAAATGAAGAAGAAAGCTTTCTCCACACCTTAGTCTAGGATCCACCGTCGATGTAATCAGATAAGTCAGAGAGGCTGCACTGCTTCGCCCGCAGTGAGCTGCCACCCTGAAACCCTCAACCCTGAACCTCAACCCAAACGCTGAACCCGAAAGTACAAACCTCGAGAGCCCGACCCGAGACCGGAAAACCCGAACAGCAAACCCACACCGTTCGCGCTGGGGAGTCCGAGTTCTGAGACTCGAAACCGTAAAGTACCATGAGCCACCCGATGCCAGGAACCAAGACTGCCCCACCCGAAAGCCAACACCCCAACCCCGGAAATCCACAACCCCCAAGCCCCAGCATGATCCTGCACCCACATCAAAAACATCAAAAACATCAAACGCAGCACTGCGACCCTGAAATCTCGGAGGCCTTTATAGCATCCCATACAGTGACCCTTCTAAAAGCCCTATAAAAACCAAAAGTAACCCTTTTAAAAGCCCCTACAAAAACCAGTGGAGGCCACCTGCCATCCCGGGCTCTTGAGAAATTGGCTGCTGCAGGAGAACAACGAGGCTCAGCCGTCCTAAACCCACCTGAGCCCTACTCCCTAAACCCTGAACCCTAAACCCTAAACGAGCTATTTAGAATGAAGACTGAATTTATATGCTAAGCGTAAATAGAATATTTACAGAATGTTGGAGCTATGAATGCAGTTTGGCAAATGCAACCACATTTATTATGAATCGCCCAGTGAGAGTTCACTTTCTGGATCATGCGAGAGGGACAAGGGTCGTTCAACAAAAATGACCCTAAACCCTAAACCCTTTCATGCGAGAGGGGAAAAACCCTCGTGAAGACGGGTTGAAGTTTGTAGTTGTGGCCGAAACCTCGCCTGAGCTTCTCGAGCGTGAGTGCTAAACATCCTCGTTTCTCTTTCAAGCTGGGCCAGGCTCCTAGGTATATGCTCTCGGGTCCCGGGCCGCCCCCCCCCCCCCCCCATGGTATCCCTTCCCCCCCCCAACCCCCTGCCGCCCTGCTGCTGCACGCCCACCCGCCCTGCCCGCCCCGCCGCCCCCGGCCCGCACCTTGCCTGCCCCTTGACCTTGTGCGCGGATCGGGAGTGTCGCACTATGCCCTGCCGTGTGCGGAAAGCGGCATCTGACGTGAATTGCAATGCTGAATTATGAGGGTTGTATTGCGATGGTGATGGTGGCAGATCTTCTTTTGAAGGTATCAATGATGAACATGACGACGATAAGGATGATGTTGAGCATGGTATGATCGTCGACTCATGTCCCGGTCTAGAGCAGCACAACATCATGAGCAGTATCACCGGTGCCACAACAAGAGGGAAGACAAGGAGTAACATATAAGAACGTCGTGGCAAAAAGAGTACCACCACAGGCCCCACACCACAGGGGGGGCGGGGGGGAAGGGGGGAGGATACCATGGGGTGGGGGGGGGAGGGGGGGTGTGGCAGCCCTGCATCATATATATACCTTTAATATTTATATATATATATATATATATATTTATATATATATATATATATATAGCCCATTATAGGGTCCCCATTAAGGGTCCGTCCTTTTCCCCTTTGACAGGCTGGTCAGAGAGTGCTTCGTGCCGATGCCTTGGTTTGGGCTGAAGGGCTTCGGGAGCTCCGGTGCCCCCAGGGCTTCGAGGCTAACCATAGCGGTTGCTTTGCTTACTGCGTGACTACAATTACAACGGTGATTTTGAGGATTTTTACCAGCTGCGAAGTTAAAGGTTGTAGGGTTTTAGGGGGGTAGGTCTTGGGGTTTAAGGTGGGGTTTAAGGTTGTCCAATCATGCTTCTCAGTCCCGGGAAGGCTCGAACAACTTTCGGGCTTGCTGGTGGAGAGACCCTGCTTACGTCCCTAAAGGCGAGGAGTTCCGTCGCTGTGGGTTCAGGCTTTGGGGTGACGCCGACAGCCTGTCGGGAAATCTTCGGCTCAGGTGCTAATCCAGCTCATGGTGCATGAGGAGGACCAGGCAGCTCATGGCAATTTTTGAGTGGAGCTCATGATTCCTGACGCTGCGGCTTGGGGTTCAAGCGCGGAGTGGCCGAGAGCGTTTTCAGCCCTGGGAAATAGGTGAGTTCCTCTTCCCGAATTGTTCTAATCATGCCATCCTTTGTAGTTCATCATTCCGTGTCGCAAGTCGCATTTTCGAGAACCGCTACACAGGCTTCGTTACAGGTTGTGGTACTTTGGTCTCATAGCATCAAGTTCTGATGGGAGCGTAAGCAGAACGAAGATTTTCACGAAATGCGCAGTAATGCTCGGCATCAGCAGCAGGAATAACAATGCAAGCCCCAACTAAGTGTAAGCGCTTTATTTGTACACACATTCGTCAAGCCAAACTGATGTCTCGAGCGGGTGCTGTTTCAACCTTCCGCATAATAGGGTTTGGGGCTATATTTTTTTAACAGTTATCATCAGGAAGCCCTAGAAAAGTATTGGTCATCATTAATAAGGCCCCTACATTATGCTACTGCGTACTTGAAGGTACTGGCCCATCAGCTGACTGACACTATAAATGCACTTTTGTGGCATGGGCTGCACGGCATTGGTTGTATGGGTTGGAGCCCCGTGGCTTTACATGCCAGTGATGTTGATGCCTGAATAATAGCCAATATTATTCCTTAGCTTCATTAAAAGATTGATACGCTCAGGTACCCTTAGACCCTAATTATTCTAATTGTTAAGGCACCTATAATGTTCCCTTATCGTACCCTTATCTTACCTTGTGGTTCCCTTGCAATTGAGAAAAGGCACCTACAGCAGTCCTCCTCAGGTAAGCACACTCTTCATCAGTCTTCCCGCTTCTGCCAGGGCGTGCAGAGCCAGATTTTTGAAGTTCTCCGTGCTTGGCCTGAGAAATGTGGGTCGTTTACAGCCCCGTGGGTGAAGGGTTTGGGGTCTAGGAAAGTTCAGCCGTCAGCATTCCTTTCGGCAAGTTTGGTCTGGTTTTCGGCTTCTGGGACGATAGGTGGATCGCCCGGTACCCTAAACGCTAAACCCTAAACCCTAATCCTGACATCCTCCTGACAATCAGTGCCTGTGAACACACCCATGCATACAGATAATTCGTATCGTACTTCATTGCACTCCCGCGGCATCGTACGATGCACACATAATTCGTCACTTACGACAAGCTCGTCACCATACTAATTAGAGTCGACCCATTTCCAAACGAAAAACCAAACCATAAACAAAAGAGGGAGCTGATAACAAAGACCCTGAGCACTTCCTCTCCGTCCCACTCCACTTCTCTTTCTGTCGTCATTGCCAGTCTTAGCCATGGAAATGCGCGCTGCCCCGACTCTGACTCTCTCTGACTGCACCCTACGCCTGGTTTGATGACGTTACCACTTTCCGGTCCAAGAGCACGTGCAGGCTGCTGTGGAGGATTGACGACACATCAGCACAAGGTTGGGAAGCTGTCAGGCAATGCAGCAAGGCGCAGAAGACTGGTAAGATCACAACGGCAGAATGAGATGTTGATCATGCGCTCACACAGTGGCAGCCCACTGTCCCTGTATGCCGTTGGAGACAAGATCTGACGCACAAAGCTGACCACACCGAAGTGGAACAGGAGGCATGCCCATCTATGAAGGCGAGATGTAGGCCCGCACTCAAAGGGTACAATTGGACTGCAGTTACAGTGCATGAGCACTGTCGGCTCCAGAAGATCGTCTGATGCCACGGACGCACTTAGCCGTGGCATTAGCAGCTGGACGAGTGCAAGCCATCAGTTACACAGAGTGCCATTCCTTCCAGGGCCCAGCGCGGTGTCTCAGCCCTTGGAATGAAGGCACAATGAGGCCTACAGAAGCGTTTTGCGACCAACGGAAGGCAGAGCAACAGTCCAGCACAGCTGAGAAGGGCAAACTGTCACTGCATGTCCTGGCGATGCCTTTGAGAAGGCAACTGAGGCTGCTTAATTTGTAATTCATATCC